ACTAGGGCCATACACATTAATAAAACACAACTTCCTGGAACTCCTTCCAAAGTCTCTTTTATTACTACAAATCTACTATTAATGACTACATCCTTCACCACAAACTCCTTCTGATTCCAAAAGGTTATTAGACCACCAGCAAAGCCTACAGTAGTAGATACTGTCGAACCAATAAGTAATTTACCCCCATTTTCCTCACCAACATATGACTGACAACCTCTAATTTTGATTCTTAAAAAAATACAATTGTAGGTTTCTTCTCATCAACAAATCTCTTAATTGCTCAAGCTTTCACCCTTTTACCCAACCCTCTAACATTCCAAGACAACACCGACCACTCAACCATTATTAGCATACAATAACCTTAATTCCCAGTTACAACTACCTTCCCTCTTTTGAGTTCCTTTCATTAACCATAGGAACCATTATATCCATAAAAGCTTTCTCTCCTCCTTTAAACTTCACACCCAACAACTTGGAAACATTCCAACATTCCAAAGCCTTTACCACCCCCTTTGTCTCATTCACTGCAAAGGTTTCAGACTCCTTACCATTATAACTCTTAACTTCCCACCTCCTGTAATATACATTCTTATAAAAACCTCTCTCGATTTTGCTTACTGAAGCACATTTCCCAGAATGACGACGCATCACCGGTGAGACACGCCCGTTCTGCAACTTTAAAACAGCTTCTTCAACATTAGGTACTTCTACAGAATTAATGGCAACAATATTTGATCTTAAATTCCCTTGAACATGCCCATTTGTTAGACTCCTATCCATGTTGGTACTAAGCCCATTTTCTTGAGCAACCGTATCCTGGCCCAATATGATATCTCCAATACTCCTCTCCTTTTCTCTCCCTTCATTAAAATCCACTGACACTCCCTGTTGAATGGGAACACCACCTACTACTGTCTCCTCAGAACAAAAGTCAACAGCCAATATTTTTTTAGAGCCTACTTTTCCTTTCAAATTTCCATCGATAAACATATTATCTCCTTGTTGAGCACCCCGAACCCATGCTTCAACACTGTCCTGAGAATCTGACAAAGACTGCTGCCCCAACTGCTCTTCCTGTCCTTCCTGAACATCCCGTTGGCTCCAGTCCAATGAGTTCTCCTCCCAAGGATCCATTATTTCGTCTTCTTCAACCATATCATCCAAGACCGGAAAAAAAATCATCACTCTCTTCCACCTTAATTTTAATGGTAAACGATCTTCCATACGTATTGACGGAGACCTGAGAAGGAATATCAAAAGTACTCTCCACCCTCAACAACAAATGTGCCACTCTACAATCCATTTTCTGAACTGTTTGCTCCTGTATCTACACTAGCTTGCCCAATCTCGATGCCAAGTTTGTAAAGAATGGAACCGTCCAACAATTTAATGGAACACCATTCTCATCCACAACAGATTCCAACCTTTCGAACCAGAAGGATAATTCCTCCCACTTATCTTCCATCGCTGCTTTTTTCTCCTCCACTAAGTGAAATACTATCAAACATGCATTTTTTGCATATCCCCATCTTACCACCTTGACATTGAAACCCTCAGTCCTTAATTCCCTCTACACGAATTCTACTTCAAAAATCCCCTTACAAATTCCTGTTAAAGACGACCTTAGCCATATCCTCTCCTCCATTGGAATAAACACTTGCAGAGACTTTTTCACCTCCCTCTTATCTCCAACGTTACTCATCTGCTGACCATCAACTTTTCTCACCCCCAATACTGTATCCTTATATGTCCTACCATCATGAAACTTGTTTAACAGCTCCTTCTTCCCCACGTCATCCACTATGGGTATTGGATTTTTCCTTTTGGACTCCTCTGCACCTGCATCTCTTGACCCCACCACAATATTTCGCTTCAAGTTCCTCGTAGCACTATTCCTCTGATATTTTGCAATCGACGCCATTACCCTCCTCCCATCGATCACTACATTATTCATACGCTCCACTGCCTTCAGCAAATCCTCCTTACTTGCAAAATGCACAAAGGCAAACGTATTGACCTTATAGTTAGGTCTCCTATTAACAAACGGGATAAACACCTTAATCACCTTACCATGAAATCTAAAACGTTTCCATAAAGCACTTCTATGCACTCCCTTACTGAGATTATCTACGACCGCTACCCACGAATCTCCTCTTGACTCCGCACTACCTCTGTCTAAAGAAGTATTCCCTTCCAACTCCACATTCACTCTCTCTCTAGCTTTCTCACTCATTGTAAAGACCCATATTATCAGTAGTTGAATTATATCGGAAATGATTGTTGTTGTTTCCTACTTTTTTGATCATGTGTAAGTTATCTTCCTGATGTTCCAATCTGACTTCGTAGCCTAGATTACTCTTAAATGCCACTTGAAATTCATTTAAGGAAAATTGTAGCTTTTATTTCCCTTTTCATATTTAACTTTTTCAGTCTGTTCTAAGTTAATTTATATTGTGGAAGGAGGGATGAGGGATGTTCTTTTACAATTGAAATGGCTGAAAAACTGAAAATTATTTGTTAGGTACTATGACAACCCTAAACATATGAAGGAACTTGGAGGTATTGATATTGGAAAATATGTTGCTGGAGGCATTGTTGTATTCAATCTTGATACAAAGCAGGTTAAGTGGATTTCTTACAGTTGATCTTATATGTGTGATCCATACATTAGAACACAGCTAATCAATATTTCCCTGCCTATGTGAATTCAAGTAGTTGTCTACTCTACCCCGATGTTGAAACTACTTTAGCCTTCATACAATTTTTTTTTTTACCAATTCTGCTTTGGGATTATTCTTTTTCTGCATCAATAATTTCATTATACATGATTTTGGTTCAATCATGTGGGATTCATATGTGATTTTGTTAGAAATGTTACACTGGAATTACCTACTTTGAACCCCATTATCACAGTGCACTCTTTCGTGTTCCTTCTTTTGAAGTTGTCCTCGTAATGCTTGGTGTTTTTCATTAGAAATAACTTTCTCTGCAAAGTTCCTCCTTGCTTTTCTTGTTTTAAATGGCTTTACTTATTTGCAATTATTTTCACCAATCATTCCATTGAATTTTTCATTTCATTCAGGAAATGTCAGATACACATGGGAATGTTGCAGCATGGACTGCACAAGGAGAAGAAATTTGGGAAGCTCATGTAAAGAGTCTGATTCTCCAGGTGTGTTGTAGCACTCTTTCTGTATCTTTGTCCGTAAATGATACATGGTATGATCAATTAATACGTAGCTAGTTTCTCTATATGCATTTATAATTTGGTATTGTTTTGCCACTGCTTCCTTTCTTTCCATTCATGACAAATGTCATTGTTATCACCACTATGTATTATTGCGTAAAGGGATATATGTTCATTGGTACATGCCCTAAGTGCATGTTAGCCATTTTCAAGCATCTTTCATCTGGGTTTGAACTCCAAATTGAAGAAAATAATGCATTGAGGAACTAGTGCTGAGCCGGTAAACAAAGATTTATACCTGTTTGAAGCCCTTCGAGATAATTGTCTGAATATTATCTCTTTCCTCAGGGTCCTGCTGTTGGTGGTGTTGACGGAGATGGACACACAGATCTTGTAGTTCCCATGTCATCCAGGAATATTTATGTTCCAAGTGGAAAGGATGTTTCAGTGGTCCGTCCCTATCCGTATAGAACTCATGGGAGAGTAATGAATCAAGTCCTTCTAGTTGACTTAAGTGAACGAGGGGAGAAAAGCATGTGCTGATGTGACAACATCCTTTGATGGTGATTTGTACTTGATAGATGGACATACATCATGTGCTGATGTTGTAGATATTGGTGAAACTTCGTAAGTAGTTTGTGATTATGCCCTATGGTTCCATACCTTTCCCAATGCTATTTCATGTTTCTCTTCTTATATTTGGACCGTTTCTTGACAGGTATAGCATGGTGTTAGCTGACAATGTTGATGGCGGTGATGACCTAGATCTTATCGTTACAACTATGAACAGAAATGTCTTTTGCTTTTCGACCCCTGCCCCACACCATCCACTTAAGGCTGGATAGAAAACCTGATATGATTTTAGTCTTGTGCATTTGCTAAGAATTAGATTTAATTAATTGTAATTTATTTCAGGCATGGAGATCAAATAACCAAGGAAGAAACAAGGTTGCAAACAGTTACAACCGTGAGGGAGTATATGTCACACATTCATCCCGAGCTTTTCGTGATGAGGAAGGCAAAAGCTTCCGGGTGGAGATTGAGATTGTGGATAAGCATAGATATCCTTCAGGGTTCCAAGCACCTTACAATGTCACAGTAAGCTCCCATCTCATGCACAAATGAAAATTGCTAAAGCAATTCAAATGTTTATTTCTTAACTTTTTAAAGTAGTTTAGCTTTTCATTCATTCCCCCCTCTCCTGATGCTGTGCTGAAACAATGCAGACGACATTATTAGTCCTGGGTAACTACCAAGGAGATCTTTGAGCGTCCGGAAAAATATCGGATTAAACTTCCAACAGTAGGGGTAAGGCCTACAGGGGCTGTTGTTGTGGAGATGGTTGACAAGAATGGACTCTATTTCTCAGATGACCTCTCCCTCACATTCCACATGTATTACTACAAACTGCTGAAGAGGCTTCTCGTCATCCCAATGGTTGGTATGTTGTGTGTGCTTATCATCCTTCGTCCACAGGAGGCCAGGCCTCTGCCTTCATTCTCCCGAAACACCAACTTGTGAAAGCTATGTCGTATTGGATCTCAATACATGCTATAGTTTACATCATTTAAATCAAGGTCTTTGATTGTATTCGAGCTCAATTTGATTTTTTTGTCTGTACAGTGTTGGCCTTTATAACGTTTTGATTAAGGATGCGGAAAGTTGTACAATTGTTGTCGAATTTGAGTTTCATTTTTTAAATTAGATAGTTAAAAGTTGATGCGTTCTTCAATCTGACACAAATTCAGAAGCAAGCAAGCAACTCCTTTGAACAAAATGATTCATTAGATAAGCATTAACAGCAGAAAACTTACCCAAAATTGTTCAACCCATCACTCAGAAAGCCAAAATACAAGAATTCTACACCAATAATCATCCAGCTGAGTCTCAATGAATTATACTCGATTATTCAGCATAAACTCAAGAAAAGTGAACTAAACAGTTTCAGAAGCAAGATGTAAAACATGAGTTTTAACTATAGTTCACAGCATCGTAAACAAAGAAATGTAAAATACAAGCAACTGTATCATGTGAATTAAACAGGCAAAAAACAAAAGTTCTGCATAAGAACCCTTTAGAAGCCGTTTAATATAGGTCTCTTTCCAAGCCTCTTGATCTCCCTATCCATTTTCCCAGTAAGCATCAATCCAAACATCCTGAAATCACACAAAAAGGACCAAACCGGATGCCCAAAAGTGGCAGGCACATTCCCTTCCACAAAGAAATGACTGTACCAGGCAATCCCATAGCCACATATCGGCACAAACACCACGAACCACCAATTGAACAACAAAGAATATATAAACAACACAATACTCAAGAGCGTGCCGGTAAAGTGCCACCTTCTTGTTGATCGTTTGGAGTGTTGAGTCACATAATAGGCCCAAAACTCCTCCATGCTCCTGAAATTCATCTCCTTGAAAATCCAATCGAGAACCTTGAATCGCTTGGTCAGGAACAAAAAAGAAACTTCACAAGAAATTAAGCCAAGAAAAATCCAATCTTGAATTGGTTTGACTGGTGGGTTTTGGTTAAAAATCACCAAAAATCAACTACTAGTTCGAGGAAAAACAGAGTTTGACTGGGATTTCTCAAACCCAAATCGAGGAAATCTATAAAGATGATGGGGTTGTTTTAGATTGGAGGAACCTGTAACTCCCTGTCATAGAAGGGCGAAACTTTGGTGGATTGATATAATTAAGAATGTAAAAAGGGTTGGGAAAAAGGTTAAAAGTTGTGGTCTATGGAGGTGGAGGAATCGAAGTAGGTTTCGAGGCTCTTTCTGCAACAATTATATGGGATTTGTTGTAAGGGATGGTAATTTGGACTTTTCCTTTTATGTTCTTGGCTTCAAGTAAAAACAAGTCTCTATGTAGCTTTCTTTTTTTAATTAGTTTAATTATTTTTTAATTAAACTCAGTATTTAAATTAGTATGTAATAATTTTTCTTCTATCTCACACTTATATAAAGGTAATTGCAGTTTATGTCTAATCACTCATCAAAGTTGTTCTTTATTCTCTCTATTATCTCTATCTTTTAGTCTTACCTTTTTCCTTTACTTGAGCAAATTTTTTTATTTATTTTCGGTAATTTAAAATAGTAATCAATTGAGTTTTTAACCTTGAGGTCGTGGGATCGAGTCCCACGGAGGGCATTTCATAATTCGGAGGTCTCTTGCGGAAGCTGCTCTCAACCTGGTGTTGGGGGTAGCCTACTATCTTACCTCCCCCTTACCCCATATATATGGGAAAAAGGGACAACCATTTTTTTTTTAATTGAGTTTTATTTTTTTGGAATGTATAAATTAACAAGTATTGTGTTAGCCTTAAGAATAATTGTCTGATTTGCGATTACAATACAAATTTGTTTCTAAAGCATTACTACGATACATAACATCTTTTACTTATTTATTTTATTAGTTGGTCCTAGTTTTTCTATTTTACAATATCTATCTTTTGTAGTGTGAATGTGAATATCTTGACTGTGATATAGATTGATGCAATTAGAATACACGTATATAATCTTTCGTCAACTATAATTTGTGTTTGTGCAGCTATCCATCAAACAGTAACAATCAGTAGATAACAAACCTCTGTGTGTGATAACTTATTCAAAAAAAATTAAGAAAACTTATTCATTAATACAAAAACAAAGCTTATGATCAATAATATAGTGTTATTAAGCTCATTTATGTTAATGTTAAAAGCCTAAAGTATGTTCCAAATCATATTATATACCTTTAACCTTTTATGTTTAATATTCTAATTTTATCTGCTTTATATTTATATTCATGGCTTAAAGTAAAAGTAGGTTTATATATAGCCTTTTTTTTAATTATCTTTTATTAAAACAAGTATTTAAATTATTACATATAATTATATGCAATAATTTTACTCCAGCCTCACACTTATATAAAGTTTAATTGCACTTATTTCTTTTGGTACATCGAAAAGTTTAGGTAAGGATGGTTCCCCTAGTCCAAGGTCAGAGCATACTTAAGACTCAATTGTGATTTACATATACTCGAACTTGACTTTATAAGCTCAAATTTCTGAATTTCAACCCCTTGTGTCAATACTATTTGGCATTGCAGTTTATTTTTAACTACTTACGAAAATCATTATGGACGGTCTGTTTATTGTTAATGTCTAGAATTAGAGCATTTCTAATGTTGTTTAATTTTGTTTTAAATAATATTTTAATGCTGTTGAATTGTATAACGTTTTGCCCTCATTTTCCATTCTATAGATATACTTCTCATTTGAGATTATCCTAAGCAAAAATATTTGCTTTTAAAAAGCAATCTCATTTATTTTAGGGTTTTCATATTTTTTTGAGTTTTAATTATGACTTTTGAGAGACGAGTAGCACCATCAAAGTTCATTCTATTTTTCTAGTGTACGAAATTTAAAGAGTTGAGCTAATTTTGAGGAACATTCGTTCATTGTAGCGATTACACACATCAGGACAAATTGATTTTAAGGAAATGGATTACCAAGACACAGTTATCGTTTCATATGGATATTTTATATAACATTTTCGAGTAAGTGTTAAAGCCTTGTTTTATAGCTGTCTATTTTTCAACAAGATTAATCTAACTGTTAATAGAGATTAATCGTTAGAGTTAATCACTTATTAACGATTAGGTTATTATTAACAAAATTTAATAACCCTTATAATAACTAACCAACCGTTTAAGCTAAACAATATAATTAATATACGGTGAACACTCCTAACTAATTAGTGTTTTGAAATTCATCTTTGGGGTAATTTATACAAATTATTCATTTTGTTTATATATAATTTTTGAAATAATATTTTTTCTTTTCATCTTTTTTCTTCATTACAACGGGATTACTCATTTTATATTGAGTAAACTACATCATTCATCACTGAACTTTACTTTTTTTCCTATTTCACTTATTGAACTTTCAATATTTTCAATTTACTCACTAAACTTTATAGATTGAATTTTTTTGTCACTCGACCGTTTTCTCTTTAACGGTGCGATAATGTTACAATCAACATCAAAATGACGTAGTTTTAGATCTTATATAAAATTAAATTTAGATCAAAACAACATGATTTTGATCTAAATATAAAATGTTTTTCTTTTTTTTCTTTATTTTTGTTCTTTCTTTCTTCTTTCTTCTTCCTCCCCTTCTCTCTCCATTTCCCTCATGAATCTCATTTGAACCCAGACTCCGGTCGTAATGTCGGTAGCTATTCTAACCACTGTCAGTTACCTTTGTCAGGGACCAATGATCAAGTAGTTCTGGTTTCATTGATGGCTTTTGACCTTTTAATGTTAATTTCAACCATGACTCGACTTGAAGCTGCCCCAGGGCCTTTTTCTTATTTGGCGATTCTGTGGTTGATAATGGAAACAATAATTACTTAGCAACCACTGCTCGAGCTGATTCGCTTCCCTACGGCATTGACACTTCTAGCCGTTATCCCATCGGCCGATTCTCCAACGACAAAAACATCCCTGACTTCATCGTTTGCTCTTTCTTTCTTTAATTCTTTTCCGTATTTACTTTGTTCTTGTATTTTGCGTTTAATGCTCCAACTCCTGACCATATTTCCATCATGCTAGATGAATTGGCAATGTGTTTATCTTTATGTGATGCACTTGGTTCGGAGCCAACACTACCATACTTGAGTCATGAACTTACCGGAGAAAAGTTCCTTGTTGGTGCCAACATTGCTTCAGTTGGTATTGGAATCCTGAATGACACATGCATTCAATTTGTAATTCTTTTAAATTCCTTTACAACACGAGCTGAATCCTGAAACTCCGAATTATAAATATCAAAATTTGAACCTCAAACTTTTCCATTACGGAGCTCAAATTTTAAAATGAAACTTCCATTAATGTTAATATTTTCCATGGCAATGTGACACTATTGAATCCCATTTAGACTATATTTTTTTGAAATGATGCATTGGCAGATAAACATTATATTCGACAATTACAATACTTCGAAGAATACAAGAGATGGTTGGCTTACCTTGTCGGAATCGACGAGGCACAACAGATTGTAAGTGAAGCTCTTGTTCTCATCACTGTCGGCGATAATGATTTTGTCAACTACTATTTCTTGGTTCCCTTCTCCGCAAGATCCTGTCAATTCCTTCTACCGGATTTTCGAGTACAAAAAAATTTCTTATGGTAAATTTCTTCCCCTTTGTTTTAAGTTTCTGTTTAGGGACAATAATAGATAATTAGAATAGAATATTCAAAATCATTTAAATTTTAGTATTTGATCATTGATCTCCGACAAAAGTAGCCGACAGTAGTCAGAATAACTATGAGCGTGGTGGCAGGAACTTGGGTTCAAATGAGAAATAGGAGAGAAATAGGAGAGAAATAGAGAGAGGGGGAGAAGAAGGGAGAATGTAAGAGCCAAAATAAAGAAAACATGTTTTTTCATGAAACTCACTCAAAATCGATCAAAATTCATCTAAAAGTTCGACATGCTAATACTCTTATCTCCTTTGTTGGTCATCCGATGAGATTAGTTTTGATGTATATTATCTCAATTCTTAAAAATAATGCTTGTTATCGTTCAAATTTTTGAATAAACACTCCAAACACCTTAAATCCAAGAAAGCCCTTAAACCCCTAAAATGGTGGATTTTTTTTTGTTTAATTTCGTAATTGAGTGTGTTTCATAAAAAGGTCAATCCTAGGAGAAGAAAGAGGGATGAAATGGGAATATTTTGATACCAATTCATCGCAAATGACGGCCGATGAGGGGTGGCAATTCACTACCAATGATAGTGAAAAAATTTTAGTGTTTAAAACGCCGTCGCTTTAGACATCAATAGTTGCACCCAAAAAATGTTGTTTTACATGTTATCATGTTATTTGGATTTTAACGACCTTTGATATAACTAAAGCTAAAATCAAAGTTCGATACTATAATTATAATAATTAAAAATTATGTGATATAAATAATACACCACCTAAACTTCAATGATATCTAGTGTAGTTTATTTTATAAATGTTTTAGGGTAAACTACTTGAATGGCAACCCAACTATGGGGTTAGTATCAAAATTATTACTATTTTTAAATTTGCATCAATATGACCATTGAACTATTTAAGTGGTATCATTTAATACACTTGCCATTAAAATCTAACAGAGGAGTGATGTGGCAGTTAACAAAAATTTATATAATTACACATTTTTTCCTCAATACTTGTATATTATATTAATTTAGTCCTAATTTTAATTTTAATTTTATAAATTAACCATTCTATTAGGAGGTGACACATGTCAATACATGGTCATGACACATGTCATTAGTGCCACAAGTTACCACTTAATTGGAATATTTTTTTTTTAATTTTAATTTATTTAATTAAATTATTAAAAACTATGAAAAATTTCTGAAAGAAAAATAAATAAACAATAACTTCCATTTTGGGGTTTGAACTTGGATTCTCTAAAATTGAAATGGGTGCCCAAGCCATTGAGCCGACTAATCCATTTGTTTTGAAAGTTACACCATTTATTTATCTTATAATATTATTAGTGATATAAAAATAAAGAAATAAAATATTCAAATGATATATAACTTTTTATTTTTATATTTTTAAAACAAATCAAAATAATTTTAATATTTATTTTTAAAACCAAATATAATATTTTTTATATTTTTAAATACAATTTGTGGAAGCAATAATGTAATATAAAAATATTTTTATAAATTTAAACAAAATAATTTTATAATTTTGATATTTTTAAATAATTAAATTTA